CTCACCCCCCCCCCCCAGAGACAAATTTCCATGATTAGCTCGCTTTCATTGCGAACGCCAAGACTGTGAACTTGAAGCGATTCTGGAAAGTCGATTGTGTGCAACTTTTGAGAAACTTATTTTCTCTGGCCTTTCTCTTTTTATTGCCATCGGGATTCTCGAGATTAAACCCTTGAACGACTGTGGCCCTTTTCTGCTTACACTGACAGACAGCTATGGGTGATATCCTGTCCCAAAGCCGATCCCGATCTGACACTTGTCTTTGTTCATGGAGCGACCTGTTTAGCCACTCTACGTCCATGAGCGAAGAAGCGGGCGTAACGGTTTGCAGACGGGGGAGGGGCTAACAAACCGGCTTCCGGATCGACAAAGACCCCCCGATCCCATCGATTATGGCCGTATCTACCCACGTTCATGGACTTTTCCCATAGCGTTTGATAGCTTCGTTTGTTGTGAAACTCCCATGGGTATCCGTTGCCGAGTGACTCGGTAAATAATAAATAATTAATCATCGAAAGTTCCTGGTTTCATTGAAATTCACTCGTAGCAATTTTCCAAACCCATTCAAAGCAAAAGATAAATACTACTTTAACCATTTTGGGAGACAATAATCTGAGTCAATTGTTTTTTAAATGGTTTTGAGTGCTGCTGAAGCATCGAATTTCGCTTTTTTTCTCATGATATCGCCCTTCACAAACCATTCACTTTTCGGAGTGGAGATCTCAGACCTTTTTTTGTCTATGGATTGCGAGTGAATTTTTTTCACCAAAAACTAACCATTGTTCATATTTAGCAATGTTGCTCGTTACATTTGGTGAACCAACAATAAGAAAATGTTGCACTTCGGCTGTGGGATGCGGGGTGGGTGAAAACGTTCAAGAAAGGACAACGTGGAGACAATTCAAGACAAGCGTAATTTGGTTCGTAGTTCGGCTCAGAAACATCGTCATTTGCAGGCGCGACGCCGCACGCGACGCCCACCAGCGCAGCAAATTACGATTGTCTTGTCACATGCCGGGCGGGGGCATTCCGTAAAATACTGTAATCGTACCGAGCTATTTTATGAAGAAGTGGTAACTCTTGTGAAGCCAAGAAATCGTGAGAGCTTCATCTCCTCTCCATTTTTTTTTCTCTTTTCATGTTATTTAGTTCAAGATGATGCGGAAAACGATTTCTATCCCGTATTTCTTTGTTTAGCCCGAGGCGGAAGGAGCTTCTAGTGGCTTAACTAGTTTGTGCTAGAATAAATTCATCGTTTCGTAGCTTTCTGGAATCACGAGAGTTCACAGAAGTTTTAAAAGCCCCTCCCCCCTTCGCGGCCAAACTGTTTCTCTTTTGAAGAAAGGCTTTTGATTTATCAAAAAACGTCTTCTAGTGTTTCCATTCGTCAGTTTCGATCTTATAAGGCACTATCTATCATTCCCACAAATGATTCATTACGCCTTGAATAACCAGTTCCCGCGCGTGTCCACAAGTACAGTTGGAACTTCTTGGGTTACGGTAGTCGTCTACGCCTTATTACCGTTGCGGACTTCACACTCACTACCGTCGTGCTTCTGTTATAATTGAATCTGTTTTTTTTTCATACACTCCATTGCTTTCGACTGCTTCGATTCGTTTGTAATTCATAAGGAGTCGCACTTCATGAATACATTATAGAGTCACTTGGAAGTGGCCGCTTATTCAGATGCTGATAAGGTGTTTGTTAACAGCGGTCTTTTTGGTACTGGTGGGCCAGTTCGTCAGTGCTGATTCGTTATACGATGCAAGTGATCCCATACTTGAATTAGAAACTGACACCTTTAATGCGGCTGTATATAATTCTGTGAGTGCTCTTTTCTATTGTTGGTTTAGGTGCTATTTTGTTTTTTCGATCATTTTTTTTGGAATTGATATTCTGGATGAACTCACAATTGCTTTTAAGCCTTTATGATTGCTATTTTTGTCGCGTATTTTTAAAATGAGGATTTATTGTTTGTGGTTGATGGGTTACCTTTTCTTAACAAATCTGCTCACATCGCGTCTTAAACTGACGCTATTAGGTTGGTGGGGAAGAGATCGAAGTTTGGGGCCCTCAACCTCGAGCTCAGAGCTGAAAATCAATAGAAAATGAATGTATACAGAAGGAATCTATACAATGTTGCCAGCGGGAAACAAGCTTTTGAAAGCTTCCGGAATAGAATTTCAGCTCCCGTCGGTGGAGGTTTCCTGGTCTCGCTTGATTCTTGTTCTTCTAGGAAACGGTTCGCTTGCTCAAAAAAGTGGCACTTCATGGTGAAGAGACCTGGTGGGCAAGAATTTTGCGCAGATCTCGTTTATTTTTTGACGGTTTCTCTGAAAAAAAGTGTGTACATTGTTCCCTATCTCAATAAAATGCATTAGGTTTCTATCTAAGGTCCCAAAACAGCTCAAAAAGAAGAAGTATTGATCAGCCTCCTTCCCTTGGTCCCTGAAATAAGTTCCCACGAAATGCCATACCCTTAGAATGAGAAAATAGAGAAGCGTACGAAAAAAGTCAGGAACTGTAGAACCATCCCTTCCAATAACGTAACCTTAAAAGTGTTAATAATTCCTATGCGCTTCTATTTCGGTGTTCAATCCCAGGAGTGATGCGCCCTTTTTTAGAGAACCTTCTAACTAGGGAAGGTCGTCAGGTCGAAGTGGCCATTTGTGATGAGATGTAGATCACTAGACGTGGTTTTGGACGCTGATCTCGAATCTGCCTTTGAAATTCGCAGAGCGATTCTCTGAACGGAGTTATGGAGCCGCGTTTGCCACGCAAC